ACATTTAAAAATTTTTTGTCTGGAGCACTAAGTGAAGTTTTGTTTGCGATCATGTGCTTAAGGCTGTTCAAAATCTCATATACCTACTCGTGTTCTTGAAGTTGCTCTCGAGCTGTTCATTCGGAGTCACAAGTGTGTGGAAGATTATGACAAGTAAAAAGTATAATGATAATATCTACAAAATTAATAACAATATTTCTAGGCAATCAAAGTTGCACGAGATGAGTTTAATCCTCTAGTAGCATTCCCACGCAACGCAAGCATATATGACGCGTTAAGATAGGAAGTTATGTAGTGCATCTGAGTCACTGCACCAAGGCGATACATCGAAAAATATAGTGAAATAATAAAAGAATATGTAAGTTAAGAAACCATTAAGATTAACGTTATTAATTTGGGTATAAACAAAATCTCGATCTGTACTCTCACCTACCACTTGTCTCTGCTGATGATGTTGGTCCCTGGTGTCCTTGATGAGCCTTAGATGACTTTCCCGGAGGCGGTAAGTGTTCACTAGGCGCCGGCGGTCCACCCACCGCCTCGCCCGCCGCCAAAATCTCCCTGAGCTCCCTCAGGAAGGCTCCGAAGAAGGGCACAACGGGGCACTCAGGCATAGCCAGCGCCCTACTTAAGGCACGGTCGTACTCTGCGGAAAGCAGCGCCGCCGATAGGAAGTCCAGTACTGGAAGCGTTTCCTTTTCGGTGATGGATAGCCAGAACGGTTTGAGTTTGTTCGACCTGAAAAAAAAAGAAGGCTCAATAAGGAACAGAAAGAAAGAAGAACTGATCAAATTAAATACATTAAAAAACAAAACCACGGCCTGTAATCAGAAATTTATAAGCAACTAATATTTTAAATTCCGTCTTATTTAATAGACAAAGAAATCATTGTCAAATAAAAGTTGGAGTCATTATTGCATATTGCACATATTTCTTCTCGATTCAGTCTGTTGCCTCTAAAACCGTTCGAAATTTTCAACTTTTTGCGCTCCACTATATCAGAGCGAATGGGTTTCTTATATATTATATTTAATAGTCATCTTTGAAAAGTGCAGTATGCAAATAATAATATCTGTTAAACCAATATCTGTATCGTACGATTTTTATTATTAACTACCAAATGGCAATAAAAGTAAAGACATAATTTGAAAAGATTTTTGGTAGAAGAAGAGGTGGTAAACGTCAAATGCCGTCAGACGACTACGAGAAATTCGCGGTAATGTTTTTTTGCTAGTGTCGTATCGTAGCATAAAAATAATATTAAACATTTTAAATTATTACCGGCTGAATCTAGCAATCTTATCTATTTATGGGCTAAAAATAATTATTTAAACAAGTAATAATATGAAAAAATAAAACTCTAAATCTATCCCACATTCAGAGCCGGTTTTACCTAACATGAAGCCCTAGGCGCCAGACAATTTTGAGGCCCTTTGTTAGACATCTATTTTATACTATTATTACTAAATAAACATAGAGTTACTGAGTTACCAGGGGCCCAATTCCTGACGCCTTCGTTAACTTATCGCATGCGATAACGTATGCGACTTGATGAAAGTGTATTCCTGAACTGGCGGCATTCGTCAAATTTATTAACGCATGTGCTGAAAAATGGTGATTTTCAAATAGCGCTCATGACCGTTCGACAACCACTTTGTCGCATTCGTTAAGTGAAAGTAAGGATATAATTGTCAATTAATCCCGCTTTATCATGTGTGATTCGTTTTGTTTTGTGATTTATTGGGAAATATTTATTTTTCATTTGACTTTTTTGAACATTTTATTAATTATTAAAATATAAAAATTAAACTTTTTGTACCGTGAACTCTTTTATTGGACGCTTAAGTGCCACTTTATTTTGGTATATTTTATTTAGTATGGATGATATATACAGGCACTAAACAATGTTATACATTTTACTAAAGTTTCACGCTGTTTTTCCGTTATACGATAACCACGCTGTTCCATTTTTAATATTCTAAATCTAAACCACTCCAATTCTCAAGTCCAAAATACAAATATTCACAGTTAAAACAAAACATCTAAAAACCAAAAATTATTAGACATTGCAATCCATTTAATTTTTGCATTTTTGGCAATTTTGACATATGTCAATGCAATTATCTCATATTCAGTGATACCATCTTTGGTATTCTCAATCCTCATTGGTTAAGACTATGCAATAATCAAAGACTCTTCGTTAACACGTTCGACTTGATTCGCGATTATCGCATGGTGTTAGGGGCCCAATTCTCGAAACATGCGTTAACTGCGCATGCGCTAAGTAACGCATGGTCGTTAACGCACACGACAGCAATTTAGTATTCCTGAACACCATGCGATAATCGCGAATCAAGTCGAACGTGTTAACGAAGAGTCTTTGATTATTGCATAGTCTTAACCAATGAGGATTGAGAATACCAAAGATGGTATCACTGAATATGAGATAATTGCATTGACATATGTCAAAATTGCCAAAAATGCAAAAATTATAAAATTAAATGGATTGCAGATGTATAATAATTTTTGGTTTTTGGATGTTTTAACTGTGATTATTTGCATTTTGGACTTGAGAATTGGAGTGGTTTAGATTTAGAATATTAAAAATGGAACAGCGTGGTTCACGAATAACGGAAAAACAGCGTGAAACTTTAGTAGAATTTATAACATTGTTTAGTGCCTGTAAAACTCCTATGATAAAGCAGGATTAATTGACAATTATAACAGAGACAACCACATACAAAAGAAAATCAAAGTATGTGGAGACAACCCTCTGATTATAACCTTACTTTCACCTTAACGAATGCGACAAAGTGGTTGTCGAACGGTCATGAGCGCTCTTTGAAAATCACCATTTTTTAGCGCATGCGTTAATAAATTTGACGAATGCCGCCAGTTCAGGAATACACTTTCATCAAGTCGCATACGTTATCGCATGCGATAAGTTAACGAAGGCGTCAGGAATTGGGCCCCAGGGTGTTTTGTGATATATTTTAAATAAAATTTCAGTCACGGCCAAGGGAAAAAATACGATTTCTTTTATTTTTTAATACATTTTATTTGACTCTAATATTAAAACGCAAAACATCTGCGCTATGCAAATAAACACCGTAATCTGTAAAAAATAAATTATTCCTGTTTATTAAATTGAAAACTAATACTAGGAGGAACTATTTACCATAGGGCAATTATTACCGTTACCGCATCATGTGATAATTTTGTATTATATTCCACATTCTTATCTAACATTTTGCAAGCAAAGCAATTAGGTAACTATTTCATTTATGCTATGTTATGTACCACATTGGTTCATTTGTGCAGTGAACACCCAGTTAAATTTCATAAAATGACATTATTTTAATATTATATAATTAACATAAAAATATAAATTTAATTTTAATATTTTTATTTTCAGACGTGTTAATCTATATTTTTTTTGTACATCATTGTCCTCTGGCTGATCGCGTCTCTGTGTCACAGTATACCTAAGTATACTGTGTCTATGGCGCATTATGATGAATCAGCCTAACACGAGTGAGACGATATGCTGAATGTATATAGCTAAAAAGAGAAAACAACACGCCAACAGATCCTTCACTATCAAAGAACACATTAATTGGCGCGCCGCTCACAAACAATGTTGCCAAACCAGTGTTGCCAGTCTAGTACAATTCACACGTTCATTTGATCTGTCTACAGGCAAAGCATAATTTTGTAAATAACCATAGGAATAGAGTAAGGGTTATATTTTAATATTTTATCATTCCATTTCTTTTATTTTGCATAATTATTATTTTTCTTTAATTATATTTGACCACGACAAACTTGCTGAACACAGTTATTTTTGGTCTTAATAGGTTGGCAACATTTTTCGTTAGAAATTCGTCAGTTATATGATCGAACTGTCACTTTTTTTTAAAAACAATAACTTTTTTCGGCCCAAATTTTTTATTCAGTGGCGTCCATCTATGGTTTAAATACTCTTTTTTGTATTTTATTTAAGTGTATCTAAAGTCAATTTAAAATAATTAAACTTGAAGACAACAAATCCTTACTCACACCTTTATGCCACGATGGTAGAGCGCTGTGCTGTATATAACCTAAACTCTTTGTCGAAAGAAAAAAATAGGTTACAAAGTTGAATATTATTGTTGAACTATTTAAATTATTTATTTTACCTTACACATTTTTGTTCTACTCTTCATACAGTATTATGTGAAGAGTATTATAGGTTTATTTTGTCTATCTGTCCGATGTCACGTTTTTTGTCTGCACGATAAGACAAAAACGAGAAATGATATGAACTTGAAAATTTTAAGCAAAAATCAAGCTCTGCAAGGGGACAAAGCCTATTTGTATAGATTTTGATTTACTTATATGAAGATGTCCACATTTGAGAACTTGAATTGACATACAATTACCAGGCAATACTATCTAATTGCTAAATAAAAACTATACGTTCGTCGTCTGCAGTTAAATATTTCGGTTAGATATGTTCTGTTTCGTTTTAGCCTTTCAAGAATAACATGTAACAGCCCACTACCTTTGACTTTCTGTTATCTCTCCCGTTATTTGATCGTTTATTGTCAAACTTAGTCTATAAAACTTTTTATGTAGGAAGGGAAGTAAAACGCAGTCGTAAAAAATTTCATATATTTCGGCGTGACAACGTAAAAAAACTTATTCTCTCCAATTACCCTGTTATGGTGGGCGTTTTCAGTTGATGTAGTTATATTTTAACCAAAAGGGCTCAAAGGATTTTAACGGTGCGGTTTTATTAGTGAAAGTCTCATGTTTTCTCATTTAAAATGTACCTGTTACCAGAGGCTTACTTATAGGGATGAATATAATTTCTGTCGCAAAAATGAGAGCAATAATCTATGTATTCAAAGATTTGGGATTTTTTCAAAATTAAATTATTCTTTTATTGTGAGGTAAATCCAGTTACCACTGTTCAAATTTTGTATTTGCTATGCGCCAATAATATTTCAGTACAAGTTAGTGTTAACAAAATTTTTAACATGTCATTCAAATTTGAAAATCGTAAAAATAATTACAAGCTTGTTGGACGATTACCCTAACATGAAATTGTAAGAATTTTTCGGATAAAAAAAAAACATTTCCTAAACAATTACATTTTTACTTTCCTATCTGTATACAGATATAAGGAAAGTATAGGAATCATGATTTTTTTCGACCTCGAGTTTTCGACGGATTTTTACGTTTTGAGGTCCCCTGAATCCGTTTTGACTATTTTCGCGATGATGTCTGTCTGTCTGTCTGTGTGTGTGTGTGTGTGTGTCTGTGTGTGTGTGTGTGTGTGTGTGTCTGTATAACGCATAACTCATGAACCGATACACGGAAAAACACCAAATTTCAAACTTAAGCTTTGTTCCAACGTTTAATGAGCTGATTAGATTTTGGGCAGAGTCGGAACATCTGGGGGGGGGGGGGGTACTTTATAGGTGGTCATTTTTATATTTTATGGAATATATCTGTTATTTACGTTTGGGGAAGAAAATTCTTTAAATGAAAGTTACTTCTTATTTTATTATCTATAATTTTTGTTACATACAAAATTTTCCTAAAATGGTCCGTATTCGCGAAATTTGACAAAATGTAAAAAAATATTTTTTTTTATAAAAATTGTTCAAACAAAAGTTGTTTGTAATATAATTCTCTATAATTTTTATCCTATAGATAATTTCTCTAAAATGGACCGTATTCGAGATATTTGA